AAGCGTCTCAAGGGTGTCGCTTGGGCAAGCCGCCAAAACACTCCGCGCGTGATTCGCGAGCGCGCGCGTCGTCGCGTCGTGACTTAAGGCACATTTTGAAAAACGCTGCGGTAGCTAGTGTTTGAAAGCACAGAATGCATCGGAGGCACTCTATGAAGGCCTCTTTCGCAGAGTTTTTGATTTCCTGGAAATTTTAAGCCGAATTTCAGATATCGACGAATGTGAACGTGGTTTTCATCTGTGCGACCCGGATGCAAAATGTAGGAATTTGTTTGGAGGCTACACTTGCGAATGCCCTGAAGGGAAGGAGCTTTACACCGGACAATCCGGAGTGCATAACCAATCTCTCATTAGGAACGTATCATGCATTTGTACGTTGAACAGTTCGATCCTCGCGATATAATTGAGCAAAAATGGACTAGTTACAGGGAAGACATGCGCCTTCAGCAGTACTCTACTTAAAAAGGGCTGGATCGCTATGAATCGCAAGCTGCACTACAGGTACTTTCGAGAATCTCGCAATACTGTCTTGAATCATGGCAGGACCGCCGTGACGATGGGGTACGCGACAGTAGGTCCGTCGCGCGGCGAGAAGGCAGAGACGCAGACGAATTGCAGCGTGCATTGCAGTTATTTTGAGTCAAATTAAAAACAAAGTTTCATAATATGTCTCACAGCACACAGCTCGCGCTACGACTCGTCCACTGACTTGTTTGAGTCCCTGCCTTCTCGCCTCGCGACGGGCCTGCTGCGACCGGATGCAGCAAACTCAGGTCAGAGAATGTGTCCCCAAAACTCTGCATCTCTGGACGCATCCCCTACTCTTTCCCGAAGACTGCGTCATGGATAGGAGTAGAGGCACAGTTTTAGGGACCCATCCCCAGCCGGGACTTGCTGCAACCGGCCCCTGTCGGCTACTTATGAGTGTGGGTCAGGATCGCAGTGCCGCAGCGCACGCGGTTGCGCGCGACTCATTTCTGAGGAGCGCAGGCAGCACCGATCGGCACTCCTGACTAACAATTCCGCAGGAACAACTTGATCTACATTCATTTTAGACACGACGAGACATTTCGCCTTCTTTGTAAGACCCGACTGGGAATGTATGCAGAATTCGAGGCGAGGTGTAAACAGAGCGAATGGCACTTCGACTCAGATCCCTGCAAGAGTGAGTATCCGAGTTCAGGAATTCAAAATCAGCTTTGGCGGTTGGTAGAAAGTGATAAAAACAGAAAAGGGCTGATCAGGGGCACTAGACGTGACCCAAATGGAGAAATGACCTAAATGACTCTTTCTCATACCACATATACAGGGGTGGCCAAAAAAAAGAGACACTTCACTCACATTCAAAACGGAATTATTTACGCGTTCGCGAAACCAAACCAAATGACCCCAACTGAATATTGAAGAGCACGTTATAATCTATCAACAAGCTACACAACAGCCTTCTACATCAGAAGATTTTCCCACGGAAAGCATTGTGCACGGTACGAGCTCAACGAGGTCGTCGAGTACCATAGACGATTACGACGTCTCTGAAACGCTGGTCAAAAGCGGTTTTGCATAGTCACAGCTAATGTCTCTGGGAAGCTATTCAACAGTTAATCCATTGAAGAAATTATGTAGCAGCTTCAGGCCGGAGCGATTACGGTAAGCCTCGTTGAGCTCGACGGTGACGGCAGATGACGTCATATTCTGAAGACGGCGGGGGCAGTGAAGGAGGGCCTGCTTCTGTTTACGGGGGAACACCTAAGGAATATTCCGCCGTAAAACTTTCATTAACATCGGCTCCCTGTGCGACGAAAAGTTCGATGATGTGCGCCATGGGCTAAGTGTCTCTTTTTTTTGGCCACCCCTGTACATATATATACAGTAGCGGTCAAAAGTTTGGAAACTTTTTTATTTTTGATCTAGTGTAGCCAGTAGACAATGGAATTGTCCCGAATTCACATATCCCTCTTATATATAAAGCAGCAGTTTGGTGTGTTTGTCTGTCTGTCACCGCTAAGGAGGGGGTTATAACGCGGTTGAAGCGGGAAATTCTCTACTTCCCTCATTCTGCCCTTCACCCCCAAATACATAAGAACAACTCCGTTTCCCTACCAACCTCCTCAAATACGGCCCCTCCCGAATAACTCAAATACCACTCCTCTCAATTGAGAACAGCGCAACGCACTTTAACCCTGCCACGACAGTCCATCCTCTTCAGCCGTGTCTCGCGCGCGGTATCGTGCGCAGCTAAACTGGTTTTATACAAAATCAGGTGTAGATTACGATAAGCAACATGATTTTTTGAAAACGAGATTCGCTTTTGAAAAATACGAATTTTTATAAGAAATGGCGCGTCAAAAGTTTGGAAACTTCTCAATTCCAAAGCGAATTCGGCAAAATAGCTCTCGAATCTACATGATAAATTAGTTATTCGATGAGTAGCTGTGAATTTCTATGTCAGCGTCGTTTTTATTGACATGGAGTTGATTATAAAATAATTTTAGGACTTTTAAGTCGAACCCTGCACACTGTGAACTAAATCACATTGTTTGGTGGGATTCTTAACTGGAATGTGGGTTGAGCGACATGCCAGTTCTTCCGTGGGATGTAGAACTCAATTAGACTTCAGATCTTGACTTGGTCGCTTCATAACAGCTTCTTTTTCTGGGTTTAGGAAGGCGGCAGTGAGGAGGTAGGCCTGCATTGGGTCATTTCCGCGATAGAAAACCCATCTTTTCCGGCTAGTTCTGACTATCGAAGGGAAGCATTGTATTCTACAGACTATCCTTGTACTTAGCCCAACCCACATTTCGCTGGATACTAGAACTGGGGAATCGCCGAATGGTCGGACACATCTTCATCCATGACAATACTTCCACTATTTCTGACTGTTGGATCTGGTAGCTAAATGAGGTTTCCATTTGATAGAACACTTCACAGGTCCACAACATCATTTTTAGAAGACAGAAATCCCATTCGTCGCTGAGGACAAAGTTTTACCTCTCGCCTTCGGTCCATGTTAGCCGTTAGTGTGCGGAAGCCAGTTGGGCCATCCTGCTCTTGAAGCCCAACAATGGCTTCTTGTTGGGACATCATCCGTAATATTCACCAGGTCGCGGCCGATGTTGGGCTGCACTTGGACTTTCATATGATTAGGAAAAAACCAGAAAAAGTCGTCTCTTAGTTGGGGATGTCGGGGGTACGGGACGTGCCAACCACCCTTCGAAGTATTTGAGGAAGGCCAATTTTCTTGTGAGGATATTTTTTGTGAATGATCATTCTTCTTATGCTTACTCGACTCCAAAAACGCTAAAAACATTCGATAATATTGCTTCCGTAGAGACTGAACTACTAAGAAACAATTTCAATTTCGTATTCCGGATTGTAGGGTTTAAAAAAGGACCTCCCATGGAAAAACTGCTTCCTTTGCATATGAATTCATTTTGAAATTACACATTACTCAATGGTTGAACTAAAATTAACAGAAACAAGTAAACATTGAAGAGTAGGAATCATAATGATAAGGGAAACAAAAAGTTTCCAAACTTTTGACGCGCCATTACTTGAAAAAAATCTTATTTCTCAAACATGATTATAGATTTTTGGAAATTGTTCTTCCCGTCGTATTCTGGACTTGATTTTGTATGTAATATCTAAATTTGGGACAATTTCGTTATGTGTCGGCCGCGCTAGATCAAAAATAAAAAAGTTTCCAAACTTTTGACCGCTACTGTATATAACGCGCTATGTCTGTCTCTGTGGGTGTGTGTGTCACGGTGTCTGTCTGTCACGAAAATCCCTAGCTTCTCGGGATCCATCTCGAGAAACCGGGTCAAGTGTGGGATGGGTAGCCCATAAGTGTGCATTGATAAGTCACATCGAATTAGGGAGACCCACCCCCGGTGGGCGGGGCGTTCTCCAAAAAAGCAGTGCTTTATGAAAAATTTCATAACTCGGTTGGGAGAAAGCCTACAGAGCAGAAAACAAATTGGTGTAGGGGAGCAATGTCTAAGGGTGTTCCAGCATGCATGACGTGAACGGAGGCCCGCCCACAATGGGCGGAGCGTGTCTGAAGCGGACAGCGTTTTCTACAAGTCCTCATAATTCGGCTCCGAGATGTCTTAGAGAGCCGGAAAAAGGTGGATAGAGGTGGGTGGAGGAGTGGAGGCCAACTGTCAATGGTGGGCGGGGCATGACCAAAGTGGGCGGAGTTTGCGACGAAAATTCATAACTCGGTTCCAAGAAGTCCGGAGACCGGGAAAAAGTGGATAGAGGTGGGTCAAGGAAGGAGGTCAACTGCTATTGGTGGGCGGGGCATGACCAAAGTGGGCGGAGTTATCCACAAAATTTGTAACTCGGCTCCAAGAAGTCCTGGAGACCGGGAAAAAAGTGGATTGAGTTTGTCAACGGAAGGGAGGTCAACTGCTATTGGTGGGTGGAGCGTGCGTTGAAGTAGGCGGAGTTTGTCACGTGATATTACAGGGTTCAAAGAGAGCCCAGAGGCTGGGAAAAGTGGATAAAGGTTGGCGAAGGAATGGGGCCAAATGCTATTTGTGGGCGCCACCGAGGATTTGCGGAGTTTCCCACGGTGAACTAGAAAAATATATGGCCCTGTTTATACAATGCAGATCCCGTGTGATGCACGCGAATGCGTGCGCAGCTGAACTGGTACAATATATAGGACAAACTCACTGTTACCGTGAAAAGCGCAACGAAAGGTGGTGACACTCAGATTCTGACCCTCCCATAATATCAGCAGTGATCGATTGTTATCACTTTTGATCACCCACCACCTGTGACCCATCCACCACACACATTTTCATGTAAGCATTAACTGTTGCTGCGGACGGCATAACAGATCTAACAGTTTGACACGACTTATCAGCGCTTATCAACCGTTATCAGTATCGATCACCCATCAAGTAGTAGCTTCCGCCCCACCACCGATATCACATGTTGCTAACTGCTTCTGGAACGCACACAATGAATTACATGACCATGCTGACCTAACGCCCCTTATCAGCCCTTATCTGTTGTTATCACTTTCTATCACCCATAATCGATGTTCTCATCCCACCCCTACATCTATCACGAAACTAGCGGGAAACTTAGCATGCGATAACCTAGGTCTTAGTCCCATTAAGGCCTGGATTATCGCGTGCAAAGTTTCTAGACTATGTTCAAGATGGCCGATACGCTGAAAAAACACCCAAAAGCCTGGATACTTTCCGCGCTCCGCCGATTTAGGAAGAATGGGGTCGTCTTCGCTAGAGAGAGTCAAATTTAGCCTTGAAAATCAGATAGGATTGGCCTCCCTATCCCGATCGCCACCCTCGCCACCATAGCTGCTTCTATAGTTTTGATTCTGAGACCAGTCGACACTGCCCATGCCCCAACTCCGCCCACCTTTTTTCAAAACGGCCGTCAAGCGGGGGAGGGGGAGGCTAGGGATGGGGATGAATTGCTATAATGAGAATCCTCCATTTTTTTCTACTTCACACTACTTCTTTCGTGGAACTCTCACTAAAATCTCCAAAAAATCCGTTCAAATGGCAACCCTTTCAACAACCTCCATTGGCACTTCTCCAAAGAATATTATCCTTGCTCAATCCTATAATGTGACCCCATTCCCAAAAACACAAATTAATTCATCCGCCGATCAACTACCGTCGCGATTTCGCTTGCGGGTCCTTGAAATTGCGAGCCCATGACCAAAATGAGACCCCTTCGTTCGAATAACGCGAACGGAGTTGACCCTGACCCCCGATTCCGGCCTCTCAAACCACACAGACTTCATATCAAAGGACAGCGGCATCGAAAACCACCCGTGGTATATATAGACCTTCCGATCCCGCTAGCAATCCATCCAGCACGATCTCTGCGGAGTATCGCCTACAAGACTTCTCTCTACTGCACTACCCTCTTAAATAAATGTTGAATAAGCCAATAGAATAGAAAGATTCTTCCGTTGGTATGGATAATACACAGCATGACATCTGATGCCATCGTTCTTCAGAGACATGCCGAAAAAATCAGCTCGGTCCAGAGTTGAAATCCAACTTCAGTGAAGCGGTGCTACTGGAGCATATGAATGTCTCATGCACAGACACAACCAATTTCATGATCGGTTCCGGTGAAATTGTGTGCGGTCAAAGAGGATGGCTATCCAACGCCAGTTTGTCGAAGTAAGTGTTTCGAGATTTGCTCATTGAACCGTACAAAAGACGCATTTCACGGGTACCTGACAGGAGGCCTGTCGCGCGGCGGGAAGGCAGAGACGCAGGCGGATCAACGGACGATTCGCAGCGCGTGCTTTGTGATGTAAATGTACTATGTGCGTTCGATTTTATTTGACGCGAAATCGCTGCACTACGCGCTACGACTCGTCCGCTGACCTGTCTGCGTCCCTACCCTCTCGCCGCGCGAGCCTCGGGTCAGGTACCCGCGTTCCGCGCAGGCTAGTAAGGGACCCCGGCAATGCTGCTTGAGAGCGAGGGAAAGAAGGTGCGTTGCGTGGTCCTAAGCTCACCCAATGCACTTCTCGCAATGACAGCGGCGCTAACGCGCCTGCCGGCTATCGTGCATTTAAGGCACCTTTGAGCCGATGTTAGACTTTGCGAATCCAGCGATTCATAGTCGAGCACTTTGAACGATGTACTAGCGACTCGACAGTATGAAAGTGCGGGAGCCCCTCTCACGCGTACGTTAATTTCGCCACTTTCGTGGGCTTGCGAGGTCCTAATATAGCGCGAGGGCATGAGGGCATGGGATAATGGCGAGAGTTGGCATGCGCATAAGGGAAGTTCTCGCCCCTTTCCCAAGCTGTCAGTCGGTGGTACATCATTCGAACCGTTGGCGCATCGCTCCTATTCACGATTCGCTATATTTGCAGTCTGATGTCGGCCCGAAAACACTTGGATACTAACGTATTTGGGAGGGCCACGTGGCTACGCGGCGCTCTGATCGTCTGCTCATCTAAGCCTGATTGTCAGGGCCAACACGTGGCAGTCTCAAAATGCAGCAGCAACGAAACCCTAAAAGTGCAGCCGAACAGCGCCGCGCTGCCACATAGCCCCCTCCAACTACGGCCGATGTCAGACTTTGCGAAGTCGCTAGCGTCTGCGGTCGCGTCACGTCCGGCATAGTTCGATTGGCTGGTTCTGCAGCGCGACCGCGGATGCTAGCGAATCGCTCGATTCGCAGTCTCACATCGGCCTACGTTAGCACCAGCGCTTACCTTCGGTGGATACCGTTATGTTCCGAATTCGTTCAGATGCTTTAGGCATAGCTAAAGATGATTGCTGATTTACAGAACTTCACTGTCCCGATCTTGAAGACATAGTATCGCCGTTGTTGAAATTGATCTACACTGGCGGAGACAAAAATGCCATTGATACGTTTGTGAGATTCAAATGCCGTAACGGTGAACTAGACGGGCCTGAACGCATCTTATTGCAAAAAAGGTAAAGTTCAATATACTCACTTTTTTGAATTCGAGTCTAGATTTCATGTTCCAGAAAATGGACAGACTTATAAAAGAGTCTAGGTATCAAGGAGGATAGCGAGGGGAAAGGTGTGAGGATCGTGCCATTATTCCTCACTCACAACTTCCGAGAACTGCCCCACGACCACACTGGTGTTAGTCTTGCGCATGAGTGTGAAAGTAACGGTGCGAATTGGGCCGTCAGTAAAGAGAAAAGGAAGAGGGTCATCAAAAACGCCTGGGTCAATGGCTTGCTCAAATCCTGATGCGTTTATGCTAAAGCAATGAGAGATTGAGCGCCGAGAGGAGAGTGTGGGGAGAGAGCACAACAGGTGAGAGGACGCAGGCAACAGCCTGCTGACAACTGACGGGGGACAGCTGCTGCAGCTAACTTTGCAAGACCCTAGCGCCCTTTGGTGACCCGATCCTCCCCCCCCATCCGCCCCACGAGGACAGTCCCGCAAAATCTGAGGTGTTTCCTGGTAGGAGCTTACGAGTAGAAGTGGGAGTAGGGGAGTAGAAGTGTGAGATGTGAATGTGATCAGCCAAAAGGCCAGAAAGAGTTCCCAGTGAGGGCACTCCAAGCCAAGTGGAACCATCCCCGTCGCCAGCTTTGTGAAATACGTCCGTGGCAGGATCGGTCCTATCGTTGCTACTCTTCGAAAAATTTTTTACGACCCCCCTCCCCCAAGATGGATTTGATACGACCCCTTTTCTCTACACCTCCACCCACTCCTCTTCCATCAAAACCCCGCCCATTGGGGGACTTTACCCCCACTCTACCTAATCGCCCTGCTATTCACCTCAAAAAAGCGGGGGGGGGGGGGTATATACGCGCGCTGAAACGGCAAATTTTCTCCCGCGCCGCTCCCCACTCATCACATGCAACTTCTTACAACCGAAGCAAGTACGACCCCCCCTCTACAAACTCATCAAAATACGACCCCCCGTTGCTACTTGTAGCAACATAGGGTTGACCCTGGTCCGTGGGCACTTTGAACGCGTAGCAGCCCTTTCGGTTTTCGAATTTTTTACCAAAGAAAGCAATTTTTCTGTTCTTTTCATTCTTATCGTGGATAATGAGTCTCAAGCCAGTGATTTATGGCTGAAATAGAATCATGATTTTTCCGTGAAGGATTCCTTCAAGGCCAACTCCCTTGACAGTAAGCGTATTTCAGTTTCCCCAACATCGATTTAATACGGCTACCTAAGTTTATCGCTTATATAACTTGATTGCGCGAAAGCTGACTCACGGATTTGTCATGACATTGCTCTTTACGACCTTCTTTTCCTACAACTCCTTTCATTCAGACGGAAACTTTGGCGCGAAATGGTCAAATCCACCACCCACGTGCACAGTTTACAACAATGTCTCGCTTCCTCAGACAGCATCGAGTGTGACTTACGAAGGTGAGTGAAGTGATCGTCCTCCATCTCGAGGTGGAAATTGAGTACAAATTTTCACAGCACAAATTTGCTGCCCGGTGTCCATGGTTCACGCAATTAGGCTCCTTCTGCAAAATTGTTTCCGTTACCGCTGAAGCGGTGAATATGTGGGGCCGAAACCGGACCTAAAGCACATATGTCTGACTCAATGTTACCCTCCACGTTTGATGTCGATGCGCTTCTCCCTGATCCTGACGAAGTGCTGGCAACTCTTGGAGATAATGGCTTATCGAGAAGCGTGTAAAGCATTATATTTCCCTCTCAAGGCCAAGCCAGGCATAGGTTCTAATGCTTTTTCAATGGTTGGTTCTGCACTGAGTAGTGACCTTCTCAGTAACGTTCGATAAGTAAGTTGTTTGAGAGGTTATAAATAAACCATGTGGCTGTGCACACATTTGCACGTGCATCACACGGAGCTGCAGCGGTATAAAAGAGGGCCATCGAGACTTCGGGATGCCTCCTGGCAAATTTCGCCCACATCGGTGCACAGTCCACCCACCTACAATACCGCCACTAACTTTTGAAATTTCTCCGCTGAGCGACGGATTTGCAGCGTCGCAAAGCGTCGCCCCTTCATAACTCCCCCCAAAGCGGGTCAAATGATTGGTGCTCTACACCATTGGACTCGTCTCTCTGTGGCGAGTCTAACCATGTGGAAAACTACGGTACTCGCCCGTATCAAATCGAAAA